GTGGCAGTAGATTTTTGATTCAACATATGTCAACCTTATATTGCTTGAGACCTCTGTGACAGACAAACAAATATTTATAGTTTTTTGATAGTTTGGATTCTTGGCTTGATTTAGCAGATCAGCTGTGAACCTTGACTTTGAAATCACATAAATGTCATGGTACACGAACGAGTCCTCGCATGACATTTCTTCGTCCGCATTTCTTCGTCTACAAATCTTCGTCGGTGCATTTATTTGTCCATCAATGCTTACTCTTGCATATATTTGCGTTGAAGAAGAAATGCGAGCCGATTTTCATATACCCTGATGCGAGACAAAGTAATGCGATACGAATAAATGCCCTGACGAAGATTTGCAGACGAAGAATAGCGATACGAAAAAATGCCATAAGAAGAATTGTCCTGGAATCCTTTGTTGGCCATCATATATTGACCTTGATAAGATAAACGCATCATTCGCGCAATATTTGTCGCACTTTGATACCAAATTATTGCTTCCAAATGCCGACGTAAATAAAACCTTTATGTGACGTCATAGAAACAGCGTAGTTCCCAAAAAGTAAACAAAAATAAAAGTCTTATATCTCGAAAACGGTTGAATATTTTCCGGTAAAATTTGGTAGATGTTCATTTTCGCTCTTTGTGATTCACGCTACATCACTTTTATGCCAATTCATTAACTTTTTTGAAGGTGGGAGGGTCCCTTTAAATTAAATAAAAGTGGTGACCCAATTGACAAAGATGGGCTACACTTTGGGCTACACGATTAATGTAAACAAAACCCATGATACCTACAGTTCAACCCAAGTAGCATGGTGATTGGTGACGATACTGACGCAGTCAATTTTTCTTCATAAACAAATGTTTAACACAGCAAAACTTGATAAATAATTACTTACGAGGCACACTGATAGATAACAGACACCACTGTAATGATATCGCGATAAAATCTAAGTAAAATGTCCATAATTTTACGGAAGCATTGACACACGTCACGTGTCATCTCTTCCATAATAGCGGCCTTAGAGGCGGCGGCCATTTGCATTAAACTGTATAACAAATAAAGTTTTCTTTTCTTTTTTGCTTAAGTCCACTTTAGTCAAAATTCCTTGTATAAATTTTGTCATCTTAAAATTAATTCAAGAAAGATTGTAGGCCGCTTTTGCTGAAAAATGAAGTACCAGAAAAACAAAGTTGTTCTATTATTTTCCATTAGTTATTGAGCTACATCGGTACTTGGCGCAGCTGCGACATTAAAATGTTTTTAGATGTGTTCAGTTTTGAAACTGCTGTGTGCGAATCAAGCCAAAAACCAATTATATTTTATGAATGCTTATGATTACATTGCTAGCGATCTGTATCTGTTGAGGAGAGCAGGAACGAGAACACTAATTAAAGAAAATAAAGTATCCACAGGATCATGAGTGCCTTCAATATTAGATGATAATGGTGAAGCTAGTGCTGTATTAAACAGGGTTTTGGATAATGTAATTGCATTGCAGTGAAATGGAGAGCAAGACAAGGTCAAGATCAATCACAGACTCCTCAAAACAAAGTCAAATTTGTTGCTAATAAATGCTTTGGAAATTTTGAGAAAGGTAGTTAAAGTATGTTTTCCAGCATACAGTGAGTTAAACATTAATTAATGTTTATGTCTTGCACATTGGCCTTCTTTGTAAGATAATTATCCTCATGGTATTGGAATTTGCGAACACTGATAAGTTGCCATTTAACATTGGTATTTGGTAGACTGATGTATTTGATGTTACAGTTAATGTGTTTGCCCATTTGTTAGGACATCATGCATTTGGGAGAAATGTGTCATGATTGCCATTTTTTCTTCATCCAGTGTCATTTAGCAAATCAAATTTGAGTTCAGAAGGTTTATCAAAAATGCTTTCAAATTTTTATGGCAGTAGTTGATTTCTATAATACCGACAAAATACCAAACGCTTTTGGTATATAATACCGAATACCGAATCGGTATTGGTTCGGTATCGGTATACCGAAATTTTGGTAACCGATTAACACCACTAGTGCATACCAATATGAAAGAGAAAATAGATCTTAAGTTGAACTCTCCTCGACATTTGCATTATTATAGCCAAAATGTATTTGTTGCAGGCAAAGTAAAACCCCGGGCATTTGGCAGAATGCCTGACCGGTCAGGCATTTTGCAAAATGCCTAGGTAACTTGCAAAATGCCTGAGCCGCCAGACGTTTTGCAAAATCGGCGTTTAGCGCAGCTAGGAGCTTTTTCCAATCGTATACGAGCGAAAAATTTTGTGGTACCATGACTTCTCTGTTTGGCCCTCTAGGGGCAATGAACCAGCGCGCGGCCGCTGCGCAGCCAAGACGTCCGTCGCGGTCACGTGACTTAGGCTAGGGGACGCGCGCCCGCGATAACGTTGTGTCCCATTTCTGCCTGGTCTGTCTGGCGACACACGCGTTGGCGCTCCGCTCTTACAACCAACTGGCGTTACAAGGTACGCATATATCTTTCGCACACAGTTGCCGTTCGGCTTCCCGGTTTTTATATGTGCTCGATTTGGTGGTGATCCATTTAGAGCGGTGTGCTGTGCATGTGTTGTTGTGTTATACTGATGAGTGGTGTTTCCGGGCAATGCTCATGCGAGCTAGGGCCGGGCTAGCGTCCCCATCACGCCAGCTTTGTGTGAGACAGTGTTTTCGAGGCTGCAAGTGGTTCCTGTCGGCAAAGCCCAGCTGCGTACCGTGCAAGCATGCATTGGGCTGCTCAATTTTGCCTGCATCGCTGTTCCCCTTGGACGGCCCTTTCTGCGCCGCCTCCATGACCTTTGCCGGGGGGTTAACCGGCCACACCACCGGGTCTCCATGTCCCGCGAAGCGAGGCTCGACCTCCGCGCATGGCGCCTGTTTCTATCCCACTTCAATGGCCGTTCCCTACTGGATCAGCGTCGCTGGCATCAGGAGCTCGGCCTGCTCTTGGAAACTGACGCCTCGGGCTCTGTCGGCCTGGGCGCCGTGCTGGGAGAGGCCTGGCTCTTCGGCTCTTGGCCGGTCCGTCTCCGGGACGCAGATATCTGCGTGAAGGAGCTCGCTGCCGTGGTCGTGGCAGTCACCGTGTGGCGCGACCGCCTCGCCGACCGGTGCGTCTTGGTGCGCTGTGATAATGCCGCAGTGGTGGCTTGCATCAACACGCAAACCTCGCGTTCTCCGACGGTGATGTGCTGGCTCCGCCGGCTGTTTGTCACGATCGTGTTGCACAACATCCTCGTTCGTGCTGTCCACGTTCCCGGCAATATCAACACCGCCGCTGACTCCCTTTCCCGCGGTCTCGTGCAGGAATTCCGGCGACTGCGTCCACGGGCCGACCACCTGCCGGCGCGCTGGAGCTGGGACGCATTCGACACCGTCGCACGGCGGACGCCCTGATCGGCGCCGCCCTGGCAGCCACCACCCAACGTGCCTACCAGCGGGTCCGAGAGCAGCTGGCCGCCTTCGTGGTGCGTCAGACCGCTCAGCCTCTTCTGCCCATTTCCACCCTCGAGCTTCTTGATTTTCTTGGCTCTCGATATGCCGCGGGTTGCGGTTCTTCTACGTTGGCTTCTATGGTGTCTGCCGTCGCCTACGACCACCGGGTCTGCGGGCTGCCCGATCCCACGGCCGACTTCCGAGTGAAGCAGCTGCTGGCTGGTGCCCGTCGTCTCCGTGCAGGTCAGGATCGTCGGTTAGCCCTCTCTCTGGAAGATATTACTCGACTGTGCACAACCCTTCCGTCCGTGGGCTGCTCACCGGTCGAGCGCGCTGCCTATCGCGCCCTCATTCCCCTGGCGTTCTTTCTGCTGCTGCGTCCTGGTGAAGTGGTACTTGGAGAGAACCCACACCACACTCTACAGCTGCAGCACATTCAGCTCCGGGATCAGCAGCTCACCGTCACGGTCCCGTCCTCCAAGACGTCTGCTGCGCCGCTCACTGCAGTACTCGCCGCTCGGTCCGACATCGCAGCGTGTCCCGTGGCCGCCATGCGCGAGTATCTCGCTGTCCGCGGCCGGGGTGCGCCCGATGACTATTTGTTCATCAACGGCCGCCGCCGGCCGCTGACCTGCCAGGATCTCAACGCCCTCCTCCGCCGGGCAGGTCGTGCTGCTGGTTTGGATGCCAGCCATCTCACCGGCCACTGCTTGCGCATCAGTGGTGCTTCACACGGAGCGGCCATCGGCCTCTCCGAGGTCCAGCTGCGGGACGCTGGCCGCTGGTCGTCGTCTGCCTGGCGGCGCTACCTCAGACGCCCGGTATCCCTGCTCCAGCGCACACCGCGCTGTCGGTCGTCAGTGTAAGCTGCCGCTTCTCACGGCATACCTACTCACCAGTCTGTATGTTTTTGCGTTCTGTTGTACATTAATCTCCTCGCACTGGCTCAGTACTGCATGGCAGGGTTCCCATAGTGCGCAATGCTCCTCCGCGGGTTCGGTGGGGTTTGTGGGCGTGTCACCTCACCCAAAGACGCTGTTTTCGTGAGAATATAGCCCCGAATCACTTTCGCACCGTCTTTGCTAGCGCGTAGGAGCATTGGAAAATCGGCGTTTAGCGCAGCTAGGAGCTTTTTCCAATCGTATACGAGCGAAAAATTTTGTGGTACCATGACTTCTCTGTTTGGCCCTCTAGGGGCAATGAACCAGCGCGCGGCCGCTGCGCAGCCAAGACGTCCGTCGCGGTCACGTGACTTAGGCTAGGGGACGCGCGCCCGCGATAACGTTGTGTCCCATTTCTGCCTGGTCTGTCTGGCGACACACGCGTTGCCGTCCGCCTCCCCGCCGCCGCCATGTCATGTTATTCGCTTGTCGCGTGTTATACCTCATCGGGCTGTCACCTCACCCAAAGACGCTGTTTTCGTGAGAATATAGCCCCGAATCACTTTCGCACCGTCTTTGCTAGCGCGTAGGAGCATTGGAAAATGGTGTTCGGCTTGGCTGAAGACTGGCAATGGGTGTGTGGCAGCCGGTGGGCCGGCCCACTTACCCTCCGCATCACCAGAGTGCCGGCGTCGCCCTCCTCGTCCGGGGTGGGCGGCAAAGGCCGGCTCGGCGGCTGGCTGGGCGGCCTCCTGGCAGCCACCTCTCCGCGCTCCGTGTCGCGCTCCGAACTCTGCCACTGGGCGCTGGACAGCAGGCCCACACATCCCCCCGTCAAATTGATGTAAAACACCGGCTCACAGTGATATACACCCGGTCACAGCATAGAACACCGGGTCACAGTGTAGAACACCGGGTCACAGACTCACAGTGGTATACACAGGGTCACAGTGAAGAACAACGGGTCACAGTGATGTACAGTCACCAGCACTTGCTACTAATCACCTCGTTTTTGTTCAGTAGTTTGAAGACCGATCAATTGTCAGTCGCGCAAGATACGTCAAACGATCCGTTTGGTCCTCCGATTTTCGAATATCTAACTTGTTTTTGTATATTCGAAGCATTTTGGGATGGGGAGCCAAAAAACCTCTTTTCTGCCCTAAAGTGTGCCCCAAGAAGTCGTAGAACCTAGCCCCGCCTCTGATCCACAGACCACTAGTGCCATCTCTTGTCAGCCGAACAAGCCGCAGAAGTAAATAATGTCACGTGATCTTTGCACACGCTACAATTACTACGCAGCTGTAGTGGGGGAAGCGGGGCGGAGGCGTGGAGAGGGACGCGATCGGTCGGCTGGGGTCAGGTCGCCGAGGTCAGAGGTCATCCGCCGGAGGGTGTTTGAGCGGTTGGGCCGTGTGGGCTAGGGCCTGCGGAGTGGGGAGCGCCTGGGCCTGTCTGGAAACAAGCCCTACAACGCTGTGACAGTCGAGAATATTGTGAGGAAAGAGAGAGAGAGAGAGAGAGAGAGAGAGAGAGAGAGAGAGAGAGAGAGAGAGAGAGAGAGAGAGAGAGACAGAGAGACAGAGAGAGAGAGAGAGAGAGAGAGAGAGAGAGAGAGAGAGAGAGAAAGAGAGAGAGGGAGATGGAGGGAGAGAGAGAGAAAAGAGAGAGGAGAGAGAGGGGAGATGGAGAGGGAGAGAGAGGAGAGAGAGAGAAAGAGAGAGAGAGAGGAGAGAGAGAAAGAGAGAGAGGAGAAAGAGAGAGAGAGAGAGAGAGGGGAGACAGAGAGAGAGAGAGAGAGAGAGAGAGGGAGAGAGAGAGAGAGAGGACGAGAGAGAGAGAGAGCGAGAGAGAGAGAGAGAGAGAGAGAGAGAGAGAGAGAGAGAGAGAGAGAGAGAGAGAGAGAGAGAGAGAGAGAGAGAGAGAGAGAGAGAGAGAGAGAGAGAGAGAAAGTGAGAGAGAGGGAGCTAAGAAAGACTGGAGGGAAGGGATAAGGACGGGAGGAGAGAAGAGAGAGAGAGAGAGAAAACTGAAAAGAAAAACCAGAGAGGGTAAAATGAGAAAGAGGGCAATGGGTAAATCAGTGAGAGGGAGCGAGAGAGGAAATATTTAGTTGTGTCAGCTTGTTTCACATGTAAAATGCAAATTTGCTTTCCATCATTACAGCTTCGGATTGGAAATTAAATCTTAGCTTCCTTGTGATAAACCCACGTTCGGACGGGATGCAGTAGCGGCGGAACACCTTCAATTAAGGGGGGGGGGGGCTCTGCCGACTTTTGGTCCTATTATTTCCATGCAACGCTCATAGGGCTAATGTTGAAATGCCAAAATCAAAGGGGGGTACGGTGCCCCGGTGCCTTCCCCATTCCGCCGCCTACGACGGGATGGGGACGCTTTTATGGTCGTCGTTGGGAGCTCGGCACTAATGGGGTCTGGGGATGATGTTGAAGGCTTGGCAAATGTTTCATAAAAGATGCTATTTATTTTGCACAACCTATTAAACATTTTTTACGTTTGCTATGAAAATGCTAGGCCCAGTTCCTTCAAGATCAGGCCCACGACTCCACAGCTTACAACAGGAGCTAGCTAACATGAACAATTAACCCGCGCCGTGTTGGTGGCATGAACTTTCCATCGAGTGCTGGGAGGGGGGGGGGGGCGTTTTACGCCCCTCCGTCTAACTCGGCTCCTGGGCCACGTAGCGACACGCGGTAAGCGACAATCGAAAGAGCGTCAAAAATAAGGAGTAAATCACTCGTTCATTTTAAGGTCAGGGCACAGGTCAGGTCACCAGGGTTCATCAAAGGTCAAATTTTGTTGATTTCCACGATTTCGAACACCCGACGGCTAGCTCGGGAACCAATAGAGCTACAGCGCCGTGGAAAAGCGCATTCGATAGCTCTTTTAACGCTTTTTCGCCAACACGTCCTCAAATTTGAACTCAGATCAACGGTTTAGCCCCCAGAGGGCACCACTCTGATTGACCTCAAATTTGACCTCAGATCAACGGTGTTTTCACCGCTCTAGCACGTCTCTGTCAAAAGTAAAAAACTGCTGAAGACTTTTTATGTCCTAAAATGACCTCAGGGGCACACACAGGGGTCACAGGTGCCATTTTCCGATTCAGTGTGTCATGTTTACCTATGGACCGATGTTTGAGAGGGTGTAGAACGAAATTCGTCCAAAAGAGGCGCATTTCAATTTTCTCCCATTGACTTATACCTAATGGAGCAGTCGCAAAACTGACCTGACCTTAGGTCACAGACATAAAAAATCCGAGGTATCCATTTTATACAAACTGTTACCCTAAGCAATTACTGAAAGTTTTAAAGTGATCGCTCAGTCGGTGTAGCTACAACGAGCTTTCAATTTTTTTTTCTGAGGTAAGGTCACTTGACGTTACCTGGTGACCTGACCTTGAATGACGCTACGCGTCGCGTTGCCGTTTTTGAGATATTCGCGAAAAACCTGAAGGGGAAGGGCGTAAACCCCCCCCCCCCAGCACGGCGCGGGTGGTCGACATAGCGACTCGGACTGAACAAATGCCTTTAACGTTTCAACGGTTGAATAAGGTGAGAGGATTGAGACAGGCTTCTGCTTATCGGTAGTTTAGGTTGAAGTTAATTTCGCGAGCTGTCCATACTCCATAATAATTCAAGAGGGAAAATTCAGGTGCAATCGTTCGGGTCAAAGTAATACCAAACATTCTCAAATTTTGTAGTAAAGAGCCAGTAGTCTACGAATATATTCAAAAAACAATTAGAAAAAGAATAAGCGGACCGGTTTCGTCTATCAAAGACCTCTTCAGCGCTTTTCAAAAACGTATAAGAAGAAAACTAGCACAGTGACAATCGTTTGAAATAAAATTGGATTCAGTAAGAACTAAGAACTTCATTGTCCGAAAACCGCTGACAGTTGATAGCTCAATCACTTCAATGACACTTAGAGCCGTGCATAAGGAGGCGTGAAAACACTCCTCATCTCGTTCTATTACGAGAGGACCATGTCATGGCGTGAGAAAGGTGTTCTCAAAATAAATGACACTGTATGAGTGAATAAATATTCCGCGCCCCCTGGGGCTATTGGCGGACTCTACCACCTGATCGGGTGGTGCAGCCGTTTCGCCCTCCACCTGAGATCTCGGAAAGCTACCGACCGATTTTAAACATTCAAAGAGCGTTTGATGGCCCCACCAGGGAACTACCTTGTTACCAGGTTTCGTTGACCTAGGTGCTGGGTGCAACCCATGACGTCACAAGTCAGGTCAAAGGTCGCATTTTTTCACCGATTTAGTCTAAGGAATGCGTTACAGCCGTGGTTACAGTCAGTTAACACATCAAATAAAAGGCCGGCATGTTATCGAAAAACATCGATGGAGCGTTGGTTGTCTAATACATATGTTGCCTAAAGAGGTCATTGATGCCAGGTCAGTTCACAGAGGTCAGGTCACTAAGGGTCACAATATGAACCCAACTATGCTAGGGTCGTGTAATACATGTTTTATGGCCAATTTTACATTTAAAATTCAATGGTGTGAGCTAGACGGTCATTGGGGCCAGTTTAGATTATATTCTGGTGGAGGTCAGGTCATGGACCATGGTCAGGTCAAAGAAGGTCAAATTTCAAAGTTGATATTTTGCATAAAAGGGATATCTATTCGATGCAGCTCATCACAGGAAATCCAATGGTGGCCTATGGCTTGCTTTGTGTGTTCCGTGACGGCTAAAAACTGAATTTGAAAATTTTACGTAATAAATTTTGAGTAGTTTTTTTTTTTGCCATAACTTTGCTAAAAATGGAGCTATCGAGTTTAAGTTTGGCATATCTAGAGCAGATAGTTCTATAACATATATTTCAGTTTTAATTTTGAAAGTCGTTGGTATTTTCGGGGTGTTATACTTCTATTGTTTTGATGGTCAAAATCAATTTTTGTTTGGAAATAAGAGTTAACAGTTTGGTAGCGCTGTTTATTTTACATCTTTTTGATCTTGAATATTTTTCGTTATCTTCAAAACTGTAAGCGTGACAGCTCTTCCCGCTAAACCTTTTATTGGGTCGAAAATGACAGAACATGGCATCCCTCTGACGTCATTTGTGACTAACCTTTCATAAGAGCTCTGGAAAAAATTGGTCACAAGGTGTAAAAATGATGCCCGGGAGGGGTCTTGAAAGTTTGGTGGCGACATTTGCTATACTTTAGGAGATATCGACTGAAAAGGAGAGGGGGGGCCGTTTCACGCCGCCCTCCCTCTCAACGGGGCTTTCAGTTGCTGCTCTCACAGAACTCTTGGTTATATTACAACGTAGTGGAATTGCAAGTGGCAATATAAGCTTCCTGCCAGCGCCGGAGCAGAGTCTAAACATGCAGGCTGAATTTTAACATTTAACTTTTTAATTTTTAATCCGTTGAGCTTTTTAGAAGTTGTATGAACTGTTCAGCTCCTTTTTTGGTCCATCACAGCGGGCTTGAATGTCATTTGTCAACCAAAATCGAATTAAAAACTTTTTATTTGGTCTGGCTACCTCGCCAACTTCTTAACTGGATCGTTTAGTAGCTTTTGATTGGGCACTGCCCACGTTGTCTGTCTAGATTTCGTGTCATAGACACTGCCTATGACACGAGAAGAGGCTGCTGACATCGTTTGTCGCGGTTGGATATTACCAATCCACATCCCAGTGGCTGCTCGATCGCACTTTCCCTGGCCCACCTCTCCCACCAGGCAAGACTTTGCCCGGCACAGCCGTCGCCTCAGTGCCTCGGGCGGTGACCCGTTCAAAGGGGCTCACAATTCGTATGGTGCCGTGGCTC